AAGTCTACTTCTGGGTATTGCACGTTTGTTGGAGGAAATCTGGTTACATGGCGAAGTAAAAAGCAGAATGTGGTTGCTAGATCAAGTGCAGAGGCAGAATATCGAGCTATGGCTCATGGTGTTGCTGAACTACTGTGGCTTAGGACCCTTCTTGGTGAGCTCGGGATAAAGGTCAAGTGTCCTCTCAGGCTGTATTGTGACAACAAGGCTGCCATCAACATTGCAAATAACCCAGTGCAACATGATAGGACGAAGCACATTGAGATTGACCGACACTTCGTTAGAGAAAGAATCGTTTCAGGAAAACTCTGTATTCCTTATACTCCTTCCGAGATGTAGATTGCAGATGTTTTAATTAAAGGACTAGCTTCAACGAAGTTCTCAGACTTACTTGGCAAGCTAAACATGACTGACATCCATGCTTAGCTTGAGGGGGAGTGTTGGTTCAACTGTTTTAGTGTTTATGTTAGTCATATTTGTGTCTTTAGTTCTTAGTTATTGGGCCTAAACTTGTTTAATGTTTTATTTGTTTTATTTGTCTAGGTGTCCCATCACTATCAGGGGCATTCTAGTCCATTCATGTAACATTATTTTATAATCATCTATATGTTTGCTGTGTTCCAGCAAACATATGTAATGTGCTGTCTTGTCATGGTCTGACCTGTCTGACCCGGACAGTCAAATTGCTGAACTGCAACCCAGAGGCAAAAATGGTTCAGCCACCTGGTTGGCTTTTTAAAACACTGATCTGAGAGTCTTGAGGAGGTGAGTTGGTCGCAATATTAGCTGAGTTATACTTCTTCTCAGGCTTCTGGTAGAACTTTTTGGGCTTGCCAACATTATCTCAACATATCTTTTTGTGTTTGGGTTTCTCACAGTTTGTGCACCTTAATGTATCTTTCTCATTCTCCTCTCTATTCTTATTGGATTTATCTTTCTTGTAGTGGGTTTCTTGTGCTTGCCGACACTTTGACAGAATCCCCTTAACCCTTTTGCTAGTGTTTTCTCATTCTTCTTAATACAAGACATTCTTCATCAAATAATATTTGATTAATAATCCTAAAATCACAAAACATTCTTTTCTATAGAGGCAAAACAATTAGGACCCTCGCATGGACTTGTTTGGGTTTGGCTAAAGGGCCTTTATAGAGCTGGAGAGCTGATCTTGTAGAATCAGGAATGCAAGATGTTTAAAATCACATTAGCTTCCTGGATTAATGCAATTGGGAGAGAAATAAACAAATTGAAAATTTCAGATGCTTGAATTGTTGAGTGCTTCTATATTTATATGTTTTGTTTGATTTTATTTCTACATTTTCACTTTGAATATGTTTTATATGTTATGTTTATATATATATATATATATATTTTAACTTGAGATAATTGGCTTTTTAAAACATTTAATTTTTGTAAAATTCAAGTATGCATTTAATTTCTGAATCATTATTATTTTATTTGTATTTTCAAATTATTTTTTTTTTGAAAAAATTCAATACATTTGTGCTTTTCTTCAAAAGGGTGCATGCCTTGCCTTGTGCCTTGACATCCTTTGGTCCCAGCTATGTGTAGCTCAAATTTCATTTTATGACCAAAAGAAAAAAAAAGAAAAACAGAAACAATGAGGACCAAAGTAAAGTCCATTATCCAATATTGGCCCTAGCTATCTCAGGTTTTGGGAAGGGTGGACTTGATACAACCTAACCTTTGTCATTTATTTTGGCACAAAGTGGCTGCTCTCAGACTTCAACCTGCATTCTCTTACTCATCACCCCAAGATTTTACCATCACACCAAGAAGTGGCCCCTAGATAGTGAGGACAAAGTAATTTTCTATATTTTCTGGGTTTATGTTCTTATCAATTTGCTTCTTCTGGTTTTAGGATGATTGCGGTGGTCGATTATCTCTAACACACTCAAAGAAATCTTATGGAATTATCAGACCAAGCATTTGTATGGCTTTAGTGGAGGAGAGACCTTCTTCTCGTGGCCAAGATGTGGCTAAACCTTCTGGAATCTTGGTACTTAAAGAGTTTCCTGTTTCATTTGTTGTCACTGATTTTGTTTGAGGATGTTGTTGTTATGCTTTTGGGAAAACATTTTACTCAGTCATTTTTATGTACTAATATTGGTTTATTCTCACATTAATTATGTGTTATGATATTTTTGCAGGCTTATGATCTTGTCCAAGGAGCACTTGTATGTCCATACATTACCTAGTTATCCATGCATTGCAATTTTGATCTTATTTGAGTTTGAACACATTTTCAATTCTAGAAGCTATGTTCCATTGTTTGAGAGTTAGTGTCTCTTCTATATTATGTCTTATTAACGTGGTATATGCTTTTTTTGAAGTTTCAATAACGGATTATTTTGGGCTAAATTGTAAGGCTGGGTTTGGGGACTGCAGTTCTAGTTGTATTTGGTTTTCCTATGGGTGTGGGCAACTTACCCACATAATTGTAATCTCAAGTTTTATATAATGCTTAATAAAATTTACCCTTGCTGATAAAAAAAAAAACGAATTATGGTAAAATGTGAAAAATGGGGATAAAGAGCTCCTCTAGTTCAAGATCAATGAAAACCCTTTTAAAATCCTCCCTATTCTTTTTTCCTTAGCTAGCAGCCTCCTCTTTATGGATGTTTGGGATTCATCTCTTTGGGTGTCTATTACATATTATATCTTCTTAATATGTGTTGTGCTTAGTGGAAGTTTGAATAATAAATTATGATGAAATATGGAAAACTGGAGATATAGAGTTCCTCTAGACAAGAGTTGGACCGTTATCTTCTTAAGATCCTTCCTGTTAAGTTCTTTGATTTCCTTTAGAAGTAGCCTTCTCTGGATTTTGGGAGGCATCTCTCCAATTACTGAGAATCTAAGGATGTGGGTGTCGATGTGCATGGGGAACAAGGGTTTGAGGAAGTTGAGGTACACGAAGGAAGAGATTATGATTTTTCCATTGGGTAAATGCAAAAAATTAAACAAGAAGATTGATTTGAAGAAGGTTGTGCATACAAAAGTTCTATGGACTCATGCAATCACCACGAGCCTGGTTTGGTAGGTTCAATAGTGTTGTATAGGAGGTTGGTCTCCAGTAATGTGGAGTTGATCATTAAGTCTTCGGCAGGGATACCACATTTGGGAAGATCATTTTGGTAGTGTATGTTGATAACATAATAACTATTGGTAGTCATAGTTTTTGAGGCTAGGCGACAGGGGGGCGCCTTGTCGCCTAGTTGCCTAGGCGGGCGCCTAGTTGCCTAGGCGGGCGCCTAGTTGCCTAGGCGGGCGCCTAGGTGACGCTTAGGTGATGGATTTTTTTTAAGTAAAACCATATATCCTAGGGTAGTTTAGAAAATCAACATTTCATGAGAAGAAAAGGAACAAAGGAAAGAAAATTAAAAAAATATAGGGGATGAACCCCCTACTTTTGTTATAGGAAAAAAAGAAAAGAAAAGGTGGAAGAAGAAGAAGATCTGAGAAGAAAATGTGTTGATTAGACAAAATTTTAAGTTTTTTCCCTTGCTTATTGGTTCAGGTTCTGAAATCTTTGAGCATTCAATCAAGGATCAAAACTTCGATATGATACGCCCCGTATTGGGTGTATTGTATTGTATCTTTTGCGCCCCAATACACATGTTTACAGGTGTTTTTGGGAACCCGTTTTTTTAAAATAATATATATATATATATATATATATATATGTGTGTGTGTGTGTGTGTGTGTGTGCGTGTATTTAAAAATGAAATTGAAAACCAAAGAAATAAAAAAATAGGGGGAGTATCGTTATAAGTGCTGATACACCTCTGCCGATACACAGAGGTGTATCGATACTTTGAACCATGGTTTCAATACAACAGTTAGCAATGTTTGTGTTGATTAAACCCTAACAAATAAGAAAATAATAAAAAGAAGTTAGTACATAAACACATAAAATGAGTATTCTAGTTTAATAATGCCTATTTTATAATTATAATGTAAAAAAATTAAAAATATAAAAGTATTTTTTAACATAGTGCACAAAATTACTTGGCGACTGGGCAAGGAGAGCCTCCAAGGGCGCCTTGCCGCCTAGGCATCGCCTTGACAACTATGCTGGTAGTGATGCTAATGGAATTGATGGTTTGAAACAAATTTTGCAACAACACTTTCAAACCAAGGACTTAGGATCCTTAAAGTATTTCTTGGGTATTGAAGTAGCCCGTTCGAAGTGGAGAATCTCCTTGCTATGGACCCTAATGTGAAAAATGACTGATAGCCAGGGGGAACCATTCGATGATCCTGGAAGGTATAGGAGATTAGTTGGCAAGTTGATTTATCTCACCATCACTTGTCTTGATAACTCCTTCAATGTTGGGGTTCTGAGTCAGTTCATGCAGAATCCCACAGTCATTCACTGGAAGGTGTTGTAAGAGTATTAAGATACCTGAAAGGTGCCCCAGGCTGGGGATTACTATACAAGAAAGGGAGAGACTAACCTTAGAGGGATATTCTGATGTAGATTGGGCAGGTTCTTCAATGGACAGGTCTACTACAGGGTACTTTACTTTGTTGTGTGATAATCTCATTACTTGGGAAAGTAAGAAGCAAAGTGTAGTTGCTAGAAGTAGTGCTGAATCTGAGTATAGAGCAATGGACCACACCACCTGTGAGTTGATATGGCTGAAACATCTCCTTCAAGAAATAGGTGTTCTTATTGGAAGCCTACTACCAAGTTGTTTTGTGATAATCAAGTTGGTACTCATATTACTTGCAACTCAGTTTTCCATGACAGGACCAAACATATAGAAGTTGACTGCCATTTTGTAAAAGAATAGGTGACAAATGGAGATATTGTGATTCCTTATGTCAAGTCAGAAGAACAACTGACAGATTTGTTTACAAAGAGCTTGTGTCATACTAGGATGGATTATATTTGTAACAAGCTGGAACTCTATGATATATATGCTCTAGCTTGAGGGGCAGTGTTGAAATGTTTGCTCACAAGGGAATTTTAGTCATTTGATATAATCTGGTATTTCCATGTTAAGAATCAATTAATATGGGCATTTTTGTAATTTTTGCATGTTTAATGAACAATGCTATAGTGCAGGTCAAGAGGAAGGGATATACAGATCGTATTCCTTCCTTGAAACCTACTTTTCTTCTTCCCCCTACTTTCTCCTTTCTTTCTATTGTGTAAGACAGGTTTCCTGACCTTCTTTGTTTTTCCCTTTCTTTTTCTACTTTATTTACAAACTTTATCAATAAAAAGAAGAATATAGTATATAAACACACAAAATGAATATTTTGGTTTAACAATGTCTTTTTTTTGAGAAAGGTAAAGTATAGTAAATTGTATTGAAATCTAAAGTATGGTCCTCTGTACAATGAGAAACTGTATATAACACCCAATTAGGGACCTCCAAAAAATTACACCTTCAAAAAGAAGAAAAAGTATCATTTCTAAATATACTATGGACAGACAGCCAGTCCTTTAAGAACCCTACTGCTGCATTAATCACCACTGATTCTGTCAGCACCTTCTGCTCAAAGACTCTGCAGTTTCTTTCAAGACAAATGGCCCACAAAATTGCAGACCAACAAATCTTTCCTTTTCTAGACATACCCAGGACATGCCAGCTGGCCCAGCCCTTTAATAGATCTTGCACCGAAAATAGCTCCAAGAAAATAGTTCCATATTGAAGCACTAAAGCTACAGTGCAGAAATAAGTGACTTGAAGTCTCCTTGTAGTTACCACAACTGTAACTCTTGTTTTAACATCAACATTCATGTAATTTCTGTTATAGTTCTTGTATTTGCTGTTAGGAGAGGCGGCACCTTGCGCCTCTAAAGGGACTTTCTTGTAACCAATCATTAATTTAATGGAAATGAATTTATTTATCAAAAAAAGTCTCCTTGTAGTTACAAAAAGTACAAAGAAAATCTCTAACAATAAAACCTTTCTTCAACAGCAAGGTCTTTTTTTTTGATCGGCAACAAAAAATTTATTAATAAAGAGATAAATTTACCGCTTTTAGGTAGCTTCGGCTACCCAAAACAAACTTAAGCACAGGACATCAGCTAACAGAAAAGCTATAACTTTTTACTTTACAAGTTGGCACAGAATCATTGTTCCCTGTTTACCCCTTGCTTTGATAAGTGATCTGTGAAACTGTTGGTTGACCTTGGAGTCCATTGAAAAACCAATGGATATCCCTGGAAAGATATAACTGTGTCCTACAATCTGTTTATATCATCGTGAGTGAAGTCCGAGAATAAATTCATTGATTTCACTTCTCAGAAATTTATCTTCAACAGCATGGTCTTTGTTAAGAATTTTTCCAAAGCAGCTACCCAAAGGAAGAATTTTACTTTGGAGGGGGCTGCATTTTCCTAAATGATCTTGCTAGGGAAAAAAAGATCTTGCCTCACCAACAAGATCCAAATAGAAGAAATTCACAAAGAACTCCCCAGATTTTGTCCGCTTCGAACATCTTGTATCTTGAACTTGCAGGTTTAGCTGTTGATTTTGAAGGGCTTCATACAGAAGGGCCACCAAATCCAGTTCCTAATCAATTAAAAATTCTCTTGGAGGGTGGCCAAATAATGATACTGTTCTCCATCACAATCTGCAACTGAGGCTGACCTGTTTGCAGCCACGTTAAAGCGAGAACACATCTTTTATAGCACTATCCCCACACCCAAGGGTCCAACCAAAAAACACAGCCTCCTCCCCATCCTCCACTTTGAGCTTTAAGCCTTCAGTATACTTATCAAAAGCTCTATAAATGACTTTCCACACTGTACATCCATAAGGAAGATTGGGATCCATCATGTCCCACCTGTTGCTTCTTAAGCCATACTTCTCCTCAATAACCTTTCTCCATAGAATGTTTGGTTCACTATAAAATCTCCAAAACCATCTTCCCTATAATGCAATGTTTGTAATAGAGGATGTTGAGGAGGTTAATAGTAAAAAAGAGAAGAAAGTCAAAGGAGAAGATTTCGATCTAGGTTAAAAGGAAAATTCGAATGAAGGGGTGGGGGCAAAAATGTCCAAAGAAAGCCACATGGAGGAGGGAGGGGTACTAAGTGGGGAACCCCAAAAGTCGTTTCCTGGGCTTGATTTGAATGGAGGATCAGGTTGCTGCCTATTCGGAGGAGGTGAATGGGGTGTGTGGGGCTTATTATACTATTGGAGAGAAAGCTGAA